ATGTAATTCTAATAGAGTAGAAGGGAAAACAGTTGGAGGTGAACGGGCAAATGATAATTTTTGACATAGACTTAATGATGGACCAAAATTTAAACATTGTAAATTGGAAAATATATCATAAATAAGTGTAAATATAAGTCTAATAATTGGTCCTTTATCTCGTTCATTGCTCTTAGTAAAATCGATAATAAGTGATGTAATCTGATTTCTGAATCTAAGAAATAAAGTTTTATCTAAACATAAAGAATAAAAAATATTGAAAATAAATTAACTATTTTCAATACTGATCAAATCATAGCATATAGATTCTTTTAGTCTCTATCGATTTATTTTACAATGTACAAATTTAGTTTTCTGCTACATTTTCTCACTATTTATCCAGTGAAATCATCAATGGTATTTTTGTACCAAATAAAAACTAAACTATCTTACCAGTAAAGAGATATTTAGCTCTTTCTATATCAAGATCATATAAACTAAGCCCATGTAAATTAGGATAATTTGTGGCAAGAAGAATACGTGTCATTGATAATGCTTCAAGATTAAGTTCTTCGATTTTATGATGAATTTTAGGTAAAATTTGTAAACAAAATCGATCAAGCATTGGATAACGTAATGAACAAATCGAACCATCCAAGCGATAATCTAACAACGTTAGCACACGAGTAAAAATTGAATCATATATAATTTTATTTAATCGTTTATTAACTCCTATTAACGAGTAGAATATTTCAACACCATAGAGTTTTTTTAAAATAATCATAAGAATTTCATCGGGTAAATCAGTTAATTGAATACTTGAATGTACCATATTCATCTTCGCTTATTTATTCTATTTGACGAACGTCGTCAATGAAAACAAGCATACATTTTTCTTTGGTGTAGTCTAAATTCACAATGAATTAATAGAAGAGTGACATTTTTTTTACTTTTATTCTCGGTCGACATATCTAATATAATGATCATTAAGAAACATTGACTGTTTCGTTCATCCTGATAACAAGAGAATACGAAGAAAAGGTGAATTCTCGTTTCATCGAAAGCTTAATTGATTTTCTCCTTTTGTCGAAAATTTGTTAATAGCTGCTTTTCCAGTGTTCCTGTTTCGTCGAAAAATATTTTTCTAGCGTTCTTGTTTCGTCGAAAAGAAAAACTGTAAGAAAAGATGCAGAATGTAAGTAGCTTATTCTAATTGCTTTGATTCTCTTGAATAGACTAAGTTTCATCAAGAAAACAAACTAACCGGTATCGTTAGGCCATTCAACTAGCTAATCAGTAAAAGCACGAAACATGTATTTTTAAATCGAAATATTTGATTAGCATATTTAGTTAGTGATTATAAAGAACAAAACTTCAAATTGCGGAAAAATAGAGTTTAAAGTGAGAGTGCGGAAATATTCAAGGATATATGAGGATATGGGTCAGTCAGTTTTTGTTGCCTACTTACACACGCAACACCAAGTCATATCTCAACATTTGCTCGCTTCGGCGTTTGTAAGTTTCAACATCCTTGTTTTTCAATATTGGTAAAATGAATCGATTTGTTCTATGTGCAATCTTTATAACGTTCTCAATACTTTTTTCAATAGATCTGCATAATCATTTTTTTTGAAGTAGTCTATTAGAGACAATGAAATGATTGCGAATAAGCTAATTACGTTCTGCATCTTTTTATTCGAATTTTAATTTTCAACGAAACGAGAACATCGAGGAAAAAGATTTCGAGGAAAAAGATTTCGACGAAACAGGAATACATGAAAAAATTTTTTTCGACGAAACAAGAAAATCAATTAAGCTTTCGACGGAACGAGAACTAACCGAAGAAAGTTTAAGCAATGTTGTTGATATTTTCGATTAATTTAGATAAACTTTTTATATTTAATCACAACTTGATTGCATGAATAACGAAGTGTAGATGAATATTATTTGCTTAAGAGAAATCCCTTTCTGAGCTCAAATTTTTTTTTTGATTTTCATTTCTACAGATGTATTTAGATGTGCTCTATGCATGCTGTAAAAATGATAACTATACGAAAGGATATAGTTCCTGAAAAACCTAATCGAAGATAAGGGTGTAGGGATAAGTAGATAAAACTGCATGGGCTATAAGGGATAAGAAAAAAAAGACATCGGAAAGTGATGGAAACCTCGGCTATACGCCATTTGATAGAGAATTAAAAACTACACAAATGCAGATAATTGTTCAATTTCTAAGATGAATTTTATTACTGGAAATACATGGACGTCCTTCATTGATGGTTCCAATGAGCATTGTGTCTAAACAAAATAATATTTTCGAATAAATTGAATGATCTGTAAATTTTCAGATTTAAATCTAATAAGGAATTTATATTATATAATTTAACAATATGTTGAAATAAAGAAAACATAAAATATAAATAATCATAAATATCTACTAATGATGAATAAATAATATTTTCAATTAATAAATTTTATCATAAGCAATAGTGCCTATTATCCTGACTTCGTAGTCGTCCTATATTTTCTGAAAAACAGAAGAAAGTTTTGAAAAATCGTATATTTCCTAGAAAAGCAATTTGTACAGCACTTTTTATATTCTCAACATGATATACAGGGTGGTCCATAAATAACTGTGCGATAAGAAATTCGAATATCTCCATTACGGCTCGAGCAAACGTGCTGATTTTTTTATCAGTGATAGAGGCATGTATCAAGTTTATATCCATAAAGACATGTCCAGGGAGACCCTTTGTTAAGTATTACTATTGCCCTCAACAAGAAAAATTTACTTTTTCACAAATGGAAAAAAAAGCAGTACACTTAACAGAGAATCGATCTAGACATGTCTTTATGGATATGAAGCTTGAACGTGCCTCTATTATTGGTAAAAATATCACCTCGTTTGCTTGAGCCGTAATGGAGATATTCAATTTTTATTTTGGCAAATTGACTTTTGAGCCACCCTGTTTATAGCCCAAAAGTCACCCATCCGAAAAAAAATTGAATATCTCCCTTACGACTCGAGCAAAGAAGCTGATTTTTTTACTGGTGATAGAGGCATGTATAAGCTTTATATCC